AATTGCTGTATGGTTTAATTAGTTCATTATTATGCCTATTCTTACACGGTAATTTCTTTTATAATTCTAATCATTCACTTCACACTTTTTAAACCAAATGGAATATCAAAGGTTCTGTAGGATTATTTTTGGATCCTGCACATGTTTCACCACACAATTAATCTGTTTGTCAGAAATACTAGTTAACTACTTCTCTTTACTACTTTCTTTTACTAGTGATTTTTCTCTATTATATACGATGAAACTACCCCTACCCTGTAAAAGGACAGACTTTTAATGCTTTTGACTCAGTTTATTAAAGATTTTTCAATTGTGCACTAGTTATTACAATAAAGTATTTTAATTTTTATAAAGTTTTATAATTGAATATTTCCCTTTATTTATATCTCATCTGCAATATTTATTTAGTCTTTTTACACGTCTTTACTTAGTTAAAACGCAGAGAGATAAATATGGTTGTTCCTTTGCAGGGAAGATTCAGTACATTAATATAAACTGCACACTAATTCCCCCAAAGCATATATATATGTAGTAAACCTGAAGACTTTTTACACAGCTGCTTATTGCTAAACAGTGCCTTGTCCAGAAGGGGACAATCTGTGTCTCTAATTGCTGTCACTGAAGCTGAGATTCATTATGTGACTTTCCCATTAAAATGTGAGCATTAATTTGTATAATGAAATATCACCCACTGCAGTGTTCATTAGCCATGCCCTACTGTATACTGCACATTGTTAGCTACCTAGAAACTGTAGTTAATTTCACTAATGGATATTTCCCTACTTAGTGTTTGGTAGGAAATTTATACTGTAACATTACCTCTTAAACTTTTAAGGAAATTTAAATTCAATCAATTATTTTCAACAAAAGTTTGGGATGTCATTAAGACGGGAGAAAAGGCATGCTGTACAATGTTAAGGATGGGAAATCTGGAGAAATCCAGAGAAATGAAAAGTCCTTTTAGTTCATCTTAGAAATGTAAGAATAAAGAATGTTCAATACCAAAATTGTCTCCTCTTGGAGCACACATACCCATTTTCCTTAATTATTCATATTGCTCATCCCACTACAAGCGCCTTCAGAGAATGGCAACAGGCAGTCTTTTTTTAGGAAGAAAATGTGAATTGAATTCATTTAAAACAGCACCATTTTTACTGTATTTCATCAGTACATCTAAGCAAGTTTTAAAATCGGTTAGTCACATTTCCAAGGGAAAATGCAGCAACACTGTCAATGTATATAATACATCTAATACACGTGAGATGTACATCATACGTATCGTAACGTACTCTCAGTCAACGGACGCAGCCCTGCCAAGTTTTTTCTTCCTACCCCTCTCTTAGGTTTCTTCTGTTTAGCACAACCCAAACCTTCTTCAGGGCTCTACTTTGCTCATGCACATTATTCTTTTTTCACCTAATGAGCACACAAACCCAAACTGGTCTAATCTGCAGTAGCTTCTGAATGCTAACGCAAGGTGCAAAGAGAGCTCATCTGAAACCAGCCCCAACATAATGTGTCGCCTGTCAAAGGTAGACCATAAGAAATCTTAACGTGTTACACTCAACAGTTTCTGTGCAGTCCAAAGGCCTAGGCATGTAAAGTAAAAAACACACCCATTTATTTGATTTCAGTAGGAACTGAGAGTGCTCAAGAGCATAAAGGTGCTCAGTTCCTTGGAGCTGAGCATAAGGAATGAAGGAACCTTAAATTACTGCCCCCAGGGGGGAAAAATGTAAACTCTGGAATCATCTGCATACGGCACATTATGGGTCTGAGATACTGAGGTGGCTTTCTTTTTCACAAACTCCGAGCATTTCCAAGCCTTCTGTGTTATAACTGTCTCCTACGTATTGTATATTATTTTGATTGCTGATTTTAGCTGAATCACAAAGGGGCCAGTGCACCCACATGTCTCCTGTGCACTACCAGTGCATATACATGCTTTACCCTTGTTCCTGCCTCTCTTCACGCAGTGAGTTTGTGTGGGTTGCAGTAGGTAGCTTTGAAGAAGCAGGATCATAAAGCCCACCTGTACTCACTGGTCAACATAAAGAGTCATCTAAGAGGACTACAAGAGTTCTGTCTGTCCTCTCTAAGCCCCGAGGCTCTGGAGTATTTTGACCTGAAAGTCCTTCCTCTCTTCTCTCGGGGTCGTACTAAGGAACCGTCTCGTCCTCCAACTGTTTTTAGAGCAAGGAAGAGGAGAAACCGATTTCACATAATTATGTCCTTTTCTTCTTATCATATGGGAACAATCAGAAATCATATCTTACTATCTTCCCCTTAAAGCTCTTCCTGGATGAATATCATTGAATTAGATAAGAAGAAAAAGCCTCTACAGTTGTGTGTTGGAACTGAACTGAGTGTGCTAAATAAAACCTTGATATTTTTTTTTTCTTTCAGAAGCTTATTATATAACAGCAAACTACACAGAAACTGAGACTCAGTGTGGAGAAGGTTGCAACCATGAAACATCCGAGGGAAAAAAGCAGCAACTCAAGCCACTAGCTAATTCTTCTAAAACAGAGCACAGCTTCCTCCTCTCGCGGAGGATTAAACGGCTCTTCTAGCTTTTTTGGGCCAACTGCCACAGAAGCACCTCCTGGCCGGATCAGACGCTGGGCCTTGTCTTGGCATGCATACCAAACCAACCTACTCGCGTGCCTCCAAAAACACAGATGTTCGAAGGAACCTGACTTCTGCTGAACTGCTTGAGCTCATCTCTAACAAACAGGTGCTGTGAGAACAAGAACAGTAATTGAGTTAATGTAGTGGAGAAACACAGTAAAGTGTTTTTTATCAGTCACTTATATGATCCAGGCATATAATAAAGACAGAGTGTGACATAAAAGGCAGGAAACTGTCCCTGATAAGTATGAACTAACCAGTATTTGTTTAATAACTGGTATCTATTACATCATTTCCATTTACTGCAAAGCAACTTAATTCTTATTTAATAACTCTAATAATCTGCCAATTTACATTTTTATAATATTTATTAGGATTATTTCCAACATGTAAAACATTGCTCCATTTAAACATACTGTTGTCATTATTTACAAATACTTTGTTCTCAACCTAACGGAAATTGATCTTTATCTATTTTAAAATTATAATGATTTTAAAATACATTGCAAATGCTGTTTCAACAGTCTGCATGATGTTTTGTTGGGCTTTTTTTTTTGTTATTTTACACATGGTTTATTTTTTCTTGTTTTAATTTTATTTAGTCAGTTTTAATATGCAAGTTGTATGGAATATTTCCATTGCAACTAATTTACTTTCCATTAGTTCTAAGCCACAAATACCGAATGTGTAATCACTGCCATCTTTAAAACAATAACAAAATGGCCACTATATAAAAAAGCAAAAGGGAGAGACGGGTATCCTCAGGTTATTTTAAAGAATTTTTCTTCGCATCTCCCTTAGTGAAAGTGTCTAATTGTTTAAAACTTACAGTTACAAGATTATTTTCCAATGAAATAACTACCATTTATTTACTTTTACTACATTAGAGATCACACAAGTAGGGTTTTCAGTGTGTTTCTTCTTTTTTTTTTCCTCCAAAGTCCAACACACGGAAAAGAATAGTCCTGCCCTAAATGGTTTGTAATCCAGCAGACAACTACAACAACTACACTAGGGTGCCAAATTTTAAAATTCAGATCAAACCAGTGCAGTGTACTCCTACTCCACAATCCAAAGAAAGAAGAAAAATAGAGTGAACAAACTTTCCGACCTCAACAATGAAATATTTTTCTTTAAATAATTTTCAGCCTCATTTTCAATTTTTCAAAATCAGGCCTCACATTTGCCAACCCAACATCACACATTACATCTGTGCTAGCATGTAGGAGAAACATGACTGCTGATTTTGGGAAGGGAGAAAAATGCTGCTTATCTGGTACTTCAGTGAAATAAAAATTAACAGTGAAGTTTTTCAAGAAGGAGGTACAACTGGGAAGTATTTCTTCATGCAATTTACTTTACCTATCAATTAGAAAAACAGCAGTAAAGTCCTGAAATTCATTTAAAATGGTTTAAAAAGAAAATTACTCCACAATTACAGTGCCCACTATGTGCGTTTACAAAGAGAAATATCCTGAATCTCCAGTTTTGTACATTCTCCCAAAAGCCTTCTATGATACCTAAGGCTTGGAAGAAAACGTATTTGCCATATACAGAATTTCAACAGGACTTGAGGACATCAGCGTTGTATGTCACATTTTAATTATGGATAGAGTAAGTCATCTTAAACATACACTGTGTCTCTAGATGAACCTTACCATGCACGTATGTACCTTTAAGCAAACAAGGTATTATAATTTAAATGGAGCGGTTATAGTTTACTAGTATCGAGAGCAGTCCACCCAATGGGTGACATACCAAAATAAAGTGAGAATCCAGAACAGTAGGATCTCTCTCTGTAGGATAGAAATGCTGTGATTGTTATTAAAATAGAACACTGTAAGTTTTAGCATGGTGCAAAACACGGTAAGTTTTACTACTTACGAGTACTAAGTCGTGTGAGTTCTATTTAAAAAAAAAGCAGATCCATGGAGCTGATGTATTCAAATGAACAGTGAGAGGTTAAAAATGAGCATGCTAAATGGAACAAAAATAGTAACTCTGAGAAAAACATACAGAATCCCTAAGCAGATGCTAAGGAAGGCCTTTGAAGCGGTTAGTATAACTAAGTCTGAAACCAATAGGCTTATGCCTACTGAAGGACAAGGGTAATTGAAGGAAACAGTGATGAAGCAGGGAAGGAGACAGAAATAACCTCAACTGGGAAAAGATGATTCTATTAAAGTGGTCTTTATCCAACAACACATTCCTTGTGCTTTTATTTAAGACTGTCATATATCTTTCTCAAAAGACTTTCTCCAACTAATGAGTCCAAATCTACACTGGGAATTAAGGCTCCTAGCCACATATTAGGTTAACCCCCCCCCCGGCATGTGTCAACAGTGCTCCGCTCACTTGTTTCCTCTCACCTGTATGTATTCTCAAGTGGACCTTTAAGTGATGTGATGTTCTGAAAGTTTTTCCACAATATGGGCAGTCTTTCATGGCAGAACCAAGGCTCCTGTCCCTCAGTAAAGCTGGCTGCTGGACTCCTACAGATCTCCCAGCTTCTTCTCCAATGTCTGCAACACAGAAACGTTCTCACATCACTTCGGCACGTCAGAAGTTGTTCTCACTAGAACTGCTAACACAACACAAAGTTAAACATGCCAATACTACACCTGTCTATTTCATTCTTTAAATCTGACAGAATGCTGACAATTCATGTATTTTCTCGTTATTGTCTTAAATTATTTCATCTTTCCTATCATCATTTTAAGCAGCATATGGTACCTTTAGATTGAACTGAATTGTACAAGAAAAGAAACAGCTGTGTCAGCAGCTGGTTTGATTTCTTCTTTTGCTTAGTTCCTATTAATTTTTCCCCAAAAAGTTTTAGATTGTTGTTTTGTTGAATCAATTACATTTATAAGTATTGTGAAAATCTGTATGATTTTAGAGGGAGAAAGTTTGCGTCAGTATATTGAACCTCCCAAAACAACAGAATTGCAGTGACGGGAGGGTCCAACAGCAATGGTGATGTTGACACACAAAGCTCAACTTCCTTCTGCAACATTTCAGCCCCAGAGTTACAACACCCAACCTAGCAAGTGACCTAATACCATGGGAAGGGCAATGAAAAAATTGGTCAGATGAGAGGGAATGCCTTCTCCCTCTCACCCGCAGCTCCTGGGTTTTGTCCTTCAGCATTCACAGCTACACTTACTCTTTGCATCGTAATGCAATGGGTGAGACTCCAGGACATCTCTTTGCTCTCCTGATATAAAGAAACAGTCATTCTCAGCTTGAAGAAGCTGCTGTTATCCAAGCAGGCCATGAACAAAATAACTTACAAAAGACTGACATAAAAATTGCAAAAATGTAAGGCATTTTTAAAAAATTATTCAAATCACACAGGACTCATCTATCATCTTGTACTTAGACGGTCATGTAATATCACATTTATGTATCAATTCACGATTTCACCATAAAGTACCATGGCAAATGCTGAAATTCTGAACCAGATTTTACACTACTGGCACACCGCAGAGAGGCAATACACACGGACACATCATCACACCCCTATACAAAGCTGAGCTACCTGGGTTACACTGAGGTGGGGAGCATATAGTTAAAATCTGCATGCTGAGTCTTGATTATTTCAACCATAAACTACTGACTAAAAATGTTCTGTCTTTACCCACTTGATACGTAACTCAAGCTGTCAGGAAACATAGTGCAGTTTACACAGCATTGCCTTTTAAATGGAAGTGACGGGACACAAGAAAGACTTAAACATTTAGCTCTAATAAAAACTACTCACACAGTAGCAGAGACCCAAATACCACGTTTCTGGAAAAGGTAACATTAACAGGCACTTCATTATTTCTTATAAAATGGCCCCTCTAAAATATTTTGCTTAAAGCTGAAAGAAGGGTGTGATAGAGGGACAAAAAATATATATACCTATATATATATATATGTTAAAATGCTTATCTTAGTCCTGTATGTAACCAAGCTATTGCTAGTTTTCAGAAGGCAAAATCTGATATTTTTCACATCACATTCTTGTTTAACATTTTCTGATTGTTCCTAGACTGCAGAGTTAAAGCACAATGTTTAACGTAGAAAGCTAGTAACCGTCGTTTTGAATTATTCACAAGGATGTAAAGTAACATACTGCAGGAATTTATTTTGTCTTTAGGAGTCCAGAAAAACATATATAGGTGCTAGTTTATAATTCCAATCTCCCTAAAGAGTTTAGATTTTCCCCTTTTTTTCTCCTCAAAAGTTGTATATAACCATGTCTTAAACTGCTTTGGGAAAAAATGAATTCCCGAGTGCAAAAAGATTTTTCTGAAGTGCAAAATACAGAATGCATGATGATAAACTGCAGGATTTTATTTTGGTTTTCAATAAATACTATATGAGCATTATAGATAAATATATAGATAAAGCTAACAAGCCACTCAGGAGGAATTTACCGAATAAGTCTACTAGTTATGTTTTGCTATATGTCACTCTAAATGATGGCCTGTTATCCATTTGCCTTTTATCTTTCTATCTAGAATATGTGTGGCCCAATAAAAAAGAATAAATTTGTAAGATAAACAGCTCACTTTGCAGATTTAAGAGTCTAATTTTCACTTTACACAAAATTGAATTTTTTCAAGGCAGCGAGACGATAGAGTTTACTCTAGCACTAATCCCTCTGAAAAAGCAAACTGAAAACAACAATGAAGCAAAGAAAGATGTGGGTGGTCTGAAGAGTTTTCTTTTAGATTTAAGTAGACATACAGTAGGTAGCTCCAAAGGCTTTGCTCCAACAGGGGCCTTACCTTGAAGAATTTCTCTTCCCACAGTGAAAGCATTCCTAAGACTTTAAAGCTGGGCTGAGGGGTTTTCTTTTGAATTCCTCTGCCTACAAAGCCCACCGAAGCGCTGGAGGCCATGACTACCTGAATGAGCAGCTTTACATCTAAGTTCTTTTATTGCAAACAATGAAAAGATACGTTCAAGGCTGCCGACTGTCCCCATCAAACGCTACTCCAACTTCTTACTAGGGCCTCATTTCGGCAAACTGTAGCTATTTGTCAAGGCACTTAAGTTTAAAATGTGCTTAACTTTGAAAGACATTTAAGTCTCACTGACTCTGCTACCAAGTTTTTTTTTAATACGGAGTCTCTTAAAGCAATCTATGGAAAGTGAAGGAGGAAAAAAGTGACACAGAAAAAGGAGAAGAGATTAGCAAGGAAGAAGTTAAGCAGCAAACTGATGAATACAGACTATGTCAACAACTGCGTATGGGGGGAATGAAAAATCTTCAGCTCTACCAATAACCATGTATTCTACACTTCCGACGTCCCCTCTCTCCTGCTATTGTCACTCCCTTCCTAGGTTGAGACTCTCAATTCTGTTAAATTGTGCAAAACTGTAGTAATGTTTTACAGACCTGCAGAACTAAGATTAGCCCCAGCAAATTAATTTAATTTATGATTTACTCAGGATTTGAGCTATGGTTTTTGGGCTGCTCAATTCTGAGGATAAAAGATCAGGAAGGAAAGAGAACAGTTATTTATCTTTCAGCCATTGTGGTTCACTGAGCTATGTGGTCTACATGATGTGCACTTGATGCACGTGAGATTGGACTGCTTTTTTTACTATCTACTTCCGTTACAGGCAGGTCTACGTCCTGAATGTCTTCCTGCCCATCCCTACCTTTCCTGATTCGAGTGCAGGAAATAACAGAACAGCATATAAAATATTGTATAGTTGTACATGCTAGATGTAAGTCTTCCAAGTCTTGTCTCTGAACTTACTTTCACTGAGCTTTCCTTTCCCTTTGAAAGCATCTGTTCACAGCAAAAGTCACAGGCAGAAGTGCAAAAAGCAACACTCAGTTCTGTATATGAAACCGGCCTTAGTGTCAGTATAAGGAGAAGGTAACAGCTGTGAGACCTCCAGCTGCTGCGTACGCTGTACCTGCTGGGCAGGCAGATACCGCCCCGTGGCACAGGACACGCAGGAATTCAGCCACGAAGCCGCTCCTCGGGTGGCGTGACAGGGACATCTCCTGTGTACCATGCCTCAGCTACACTTAATAACTGGCTGCGCGCATGTTCTCATGGGACAAATGCAAGGAAGGAAAGTCCACTTTAACATCCATATCAGAAGGTGGCAATTAGCTGCATAACCAAAGAGCCAATTTGACCAAAATGTGAGCAAATCTATTTGCCACACAGACTGAAATTAAAATGAAGCAATCCGTAAGATCAGTATTTGAAGGACTAGCCCTTCTCCAGGCAGATGCCCACTTCTCAGGAGAGGAGGGACAAAGAGCCCACACCCCTTGCCTAGCCTGGAGATGACCGGCGCCGTGCTGCAGGCTGCTTTCACGTGCCCGCAGTACCTGGAGTGGAGATTTCCACAGAACCAGTTAATCCCGATAAACGGTTTCGAGCCAGGAACACTTCTACAGTAGCAGGTTAAAAGAAACTGAGAAACACACGAGTGAATCGTTTTTCACAGCAGGTATCTTAACTAGATACCAGAAATGATTGACCCAGAAACGAGTCGCTGCCACGGCTGGCAGTACCCTTGGCACACGGGTAGGGACACTACAGAAGCACAACGCCAACTTCAGTGGATATTTCTAGAAAACGAAGACAAACTTGGCTGGATAGTGCATCGGTGTACTCAAAGCAGACGCTATCTAGGCAGTCATGTGAAGAACAAAAGAAAAATAATTATTTGAAATTCCTGTATACATTCTGTACAACTGGTCTACCTGTCTAGGATGAGTATAAACGATTGGAAAAGGACTGGTGGCTTTTCTAAAAAGAAACCTGTTTTCAGTTGGTTAGGTAGCAGCACCGGCTTCAGTCATGTTAGCAACCAAATTTTCAAAGGAGCCGTCTACATACATGTCCCGTAAATTTTACAGGAGTATTTATTCGCTGCGTGTATGTGAAAGCGCAGGGATTCACAAAGAGGTACTTTCATGTTCAAAGGAGCTAAATTGCAGTCCTCATGCAGACTAAATTATCAGTGAAGTCAGTTGGAATTTGTCAACACAAGGATTGCCAAATTAGCCAAAAACGGGCAATCATATGGAAAAGGTAATCAACTCACAAAATAGGTAATCACACTTACAAGTATGTGTTTGCTCTTGCACATTTTTCAGACATTATTAAAGAAGCCTTTGAAAATGTGGCCAGAAGCCTTTAAAGCTGCTTATGATGCTAGATTTTCATATATTTCTGAAATTCAAAATATTTGTAGTTCTTTAGAACTGCCTGTACAAGTTAATGAAATATGGTGCAATGAGAAGTGGTAGTGACCACTGTTACTTTTTGATCATCTATAAACCACCCAGAGTAGCCCATCCTGTGGCAGGAAAAATTATACTCTGAATCTAATGTCAAGAAGAGAGTTAGAAGATATTCAGTGTGTTAATCCTGTCCCTGCTGCCACCTTTATGCAAGGATGCCTGGACTCGGCCACCTCATTGCATGGGAAACACTATAGGATATGCAAAATTTCTGGGAAAACATAGTTTACCTTTCTTGCCTATTCCTTGGAGGAAGTTTTAATAATACTGAAAATAGAGAAAAATAGGAGTATAATTAGGGATATAATTAACCATATTTTTCTAGCTACCTGAAGTAGCTCCAATTAGTATGCTTCAATGTAAATGAGGGCAGAATCTGGCCCAGTGCTCACAATTTGAAATTAGAATCCTATTAGCAGATGCCACTACGCTTTTCTGCTAGTGAAGTTCATGGCTTAAAATGAAAAAGTCTAATATTACTAAATATTACAGTTATATTTTAGGCCTCCGGAAAGAGTTACTAATGTCTTAGGTCAGGAACAACTTGCTGTCTCCATTGTTTCATCAAGGATTTAGGTTTTATAATGACCATATATGGGAATCTTAAACTGTTAGGCATTAATATGGATTGGCAGAGAATTTGTTTAAACAGAGAGCTATTTTAGAAGAGAATTGGAAAGGAGGCCTACTAGTGAGAAAGCAGCATTCACATTGTTTGTATTATTAGAAATAAAGATTATACTGAAGGTTCCACTGGTAAATAAAAAGATACGGCTTCTGACATCAGACTTCCCACTTGGCTCCCTGAACCACATAGGCAAAGAAAAGGCACAAGCTGCCCTGCCTTTGCTACCGATTAGGGCATTGGCAGATTTAAATTTAAAATACAATCTAAATTAAACGGGAGTAAAATGCTCACAACCATTTATAAAAGGTAAGGCTTGTAACATTTAGAAGGGGGCAAATGGCAGTCGTAGCCGATACGTCGGGCTGCAGGGGAGCTCTCTCGGTATTATTTCAAGCAAAAGGGGAGCCCAAATATTCTAAGCAATTCCTCAGTAACCGGTACATACACCTTAAGCCCACACCTGCAGCATGTGACACACTTGAAGACTTGTGGTTTTCACACCCCATGGGTGCAAAATACTTTGCACGATGATACTGCATACATGCACATTTTGGTTGTATCTTAATACTTCTCACTGTGGTACACATGCTGAGAAACATGTAAAAGGCTGTATATACAGCACAAAGAGACATCAATAGACACTCAACCAAAATTAAGCTTTTGTTTATCACAGAATGTTTCTTATCCTCTTTTTTCATTTTAATCAAATCCCCTACAGAGTTTTTGTTTTGGAGTTCTTAGCAGTCTTACTTTTCAAATTGTTCTAAATCTTTAAAACCTTTTAAGATAATCAAAGTTCAAACACAGTTTCTGAGTGCATCGTTTTAGCTGCCTGATTTGTTTGAAGAATCGTTGTGACCAAAAGACACGGAAAATCAAATGTAGTACTTAAAAAACAGGGTTGTTTACTTGCCATTAACTTACCGAGCTCAGTTTGGACTGAAAATTAAGCATATTGAAAAAATGATTCTTAGGAGAGAATGTTTTTTGCATGAGACCTTTTTAACTGTATCTTTTTTTTTAAAGAAAGAAGACATCTTAAGCACCTTACAATATCTTTCATTTAACAGTTGGCACAAGGAAACTCCCAGATGAACACTGGCCTGTGTCTTTCTCTTTAACCAGCTGAGTGATCCAAGCTTTTAATAAAGCTGTTCCAATTATTGTAAAAGTCATCTAGTACCTTATAGCCACAAATATTGACAGTTTATTGCACAACGCATTCATGACATTTGAAGGTCACATCATACATAATACATACACTTTTATAAAAGTGTCTGGAACAAAGAGATACATGATCAGCAATTACATCTTACCATTTGAGGCTATGATTTTATACTTATTTAAAATGAAATACTGGATGAAATGCAAATTGTTAACAAAACACAAAATAGTTCATTTTCTGTGTTTATTGTTTTATTAATTAGTGATACTCAGTTCAGTTGTACAGAATCAATGAAATGCAGTCCATGCCCCAAGAAGATTACAGTTAAATATTATTATTCTGCAAACCATCACACATATTCTTAGTTCAGCATGGGAAGAAAGCAAGCTTAAAACTTTAATTTCGTTACTGTATACTTCTCCAGCCCTACTGAATTCAATGAAATGTCAACATTTAAATTTGAAGCAGGGCCTTAGTATATTATTGAAATATTATTTTTTATAAAATGGAATCAAAATGAAACTGAAAAGAGTGCTGAGTAATTATTTTTAATATATGCACACGCGGGCATTCATTCAAACTTTGTCATTCTCTTCTAATGTTCATGATTTTTAAGCCATTCTAAAATCACAGACACACACAAATGGTATAAATAAAAGGTTTAAGTTGCATTTTATGCAGTGAGACCTCTGCACGGTCCTTCAATGAAATCAACAAACATCAGGAATACACAAAGCATGGCCGTAAGAGTGCTTGGTTTTGGCTTCACTTTTATGGCATCACCACCAGATCCTGGAACCTCTAGCTACCTAATGAGAGCTGAGCTTGC